AATGGTGTGGAAATGCAAGGAAGGATCTTTAATATCTTTATCAATGATCTGGATGAGGGGATTGAGTGCACCCTCAGTAAATTTGTAGATGACACCAAACTGGGTGGGAGTGTTGATCTGCTTGAGGGTAGGAAGGCTCTACAGAGGGGCCTGGACAGGTTGGATCGATGGGCCAAGGCCAATTGGATGAGGTTCAATAAGGCCAAGTGCCGGGTCCTGCATTTCAGTCACAACAACCCCAGGCAACGCTACAGGCTGGGGAACGAGTGGCTGGAGCTGCCCAGCAGAAAAGGCTCTGGGGGTGTTAGTGGCCTGTCGGCTGAACAGGAGCCAGCAGTGTGTCCAGGTGGCCAAGAAGGCCACCAGCATCCTGGCCTGTGTCAGCACCAGCGTGGCCAGCAGGAGCAGGGCAGTGATGGTGCCTCTGTCCTCGGCGCTGGTGAGGCCTCACCTCGAGGGCTGGGTTCAGTTTTGGGCCCCTCACTACAGGAAGGACATTGAGGTGCTGGAGCGTGTCCAGAGGAGAGCCACTGAGCTGGGGAGGGGTCTGGAGAACAAGTCATACAAGGAGAGGCTGAGGGAACTGGACATGTTTAGTTTGGAGAAGAGGAGGCTGAGGGGACACCTTATTGCCCTCTACGACTACCTGAAAGGAGGGTGTAGAGAGGTGGGGGTTGGCCTCTTCTCCCAAGGGAATAATGACAGGACCAGAGGGAATGGTCTGAAGTTGGGGCAGGGGAGGTTTAGATTAGATCTGAGGAAGAATGACTTTCCTGAGAGGGTGGTCAGGCCCTGGAACAGCCTGCCCAGGGAGGTGGTGGAGTCACCATCCCTGGAGGGATTTAAGAAACATGTAGATGTGGGCACCTCAGGGCATGCTCTAGTGGCCAAGACTGTGGGGGTCTTTTGTGTGTGTGTTATGACTGGACTCGGTGATCTCAGAGGTCCTTTCCAACCATGAAGACTCTGTGATTCTGTGAAAGAAGGTGACAGCTTCACGGGAGGGTTAATCTTCACCGGCTGCTCACAGCTGACTGGGTCTCAGAGCCATCCCAGAAATGAGGGGGATCTCAAGCAAAGCAGTTCACTATCAAATGTGAAAGCTCCTGCTTTTAGCCGTTAGCAGGTGACCGGTGACAGAACCACGCGATACAAGCCTGAACAGGTCTGAAATCCTACGAAGAAGATTTGTACTGATTGCTTAGGACATTAGCAATTAGTTGTTTCTTTTTTGAGGTAATCAAAACGTCGCTCTAACACGCTGGATTGCCTCCAAAATATTTTGCTCTTTATAAAATTAGAGACAGGAGTCTGCAGCTACATTTATATTAGTTCTTGAGCACATTTAATTTACATTCCCAGGTGCTGAGGCCAGTTGGCATGGAATAACTTGCTCATGCTTTGAAACTCACCCGCTTCCAAAACTACATCTACTTCGCCTACGGAGAACAGTCCCTGAAACACCCTCACTCCAAAACTTGCTCTGGAAATTGTCTGCAAGGACACTGCTTGGAGAAGAGTGAGTGTGCCACGGACCTGCCCAGGGAAGAAGAGGCTGAGCTGCTGCTGCTCCGATGCCAGAGCAGAAAGTTCAAGAGTCACTGCTGCAATTCCATTTTCCCCCAGCCTTTCCATCAAAGCGCCTGGTTTCTCTCACTTCTGAAGGAGTCCAGTTTGCCTCTTGGACTGCTCCGAGCTGCAGGAACTGCAGAAGGCACCGTCTATGAAAACCTTGTGGAGAGTAACTTGCTCTTGCAGGAGAAATAAGACATAACTTGAACGACAGAGCAGTTGTTTTGACACAGGTGTGAAAAAGAGTATTATTATATGACCTGAGAGTCTAGAAAAAAATAATAGAGAATCACAGAATGATACAGGGTTGGAAGGGACCTCTAGAGATCATCTAGTCCAACCCCCTGCCAGAACAAGTCCACCTAGACCAGGTTACACAGGAACGTGTCCAGGCAGGTTTTGAACATCTCCAGAGATGGAGACCCCACCACCTCCCTGGGCAGCCTCTGCCAGGGCTCTGCCACCTGCAAAAGTAAAGAAGTTCTTCCTCGTGTTTAGGTGGAACTTCTTATGTTTAAGTTTGTGCCCGTTTCTGCTTGTCCTGTCCCTGGGCACCACTGAGAACAGACTGGCCCCATCCTGCTGACACCCACCCTTGAAGTATTTATAGGTGTTGATCAGATCCCTCCTCAGTCTTTTCTTCTCGAGACTCAAAAGCTCCAGGTCCCTCAGCCTCTCCTTGTAAGGGAGATGCTCCAGGCCCCTCATCATCTTTGTAGCCCCTTGCTGAACCCTCTCCAGCAGTTCCCTGTCCTTCTGGAACTGGAGAGCCCAGAACTGGTCCCAGTGCTCCAGCTGGGGCCTCCCCAGGGCAGAGCAGAGGGGGAGGATGACCTCCCTCCACCTGCTGGTCACACTCTTCCTGATGCACCCTAGGTTGTCATTGGCCTTCTGAAGAAAATTACTACCACCTTTGCCTCCTACCTTTATAAGAACAGAAATCAGTTCAGCTTTTATCCCTGTGATGCCATCTTTCAGGAGCTGGACTATATTGGACAGACCCACTATGAGAAGACAGGAGCTCTTCAAAATACTCCTTAGAAAAATGGTGAGTTATTCTCAGGTACTGCAAACTGACAAAGATCAGTGAAAATCTTGTCCCCTTCCAAGGAAAACCTGATGCATCTACAAACACACAGAATTGTGCATTTCTGTAGAGGTTTGTAGCGCAGTAAAAACATTGGTATGGATGAAGTGTGAAGAGAAATGCGTGTGAGAGACTGAGGAAGAGTCTGAGACAACACCACAGCAAGAGTTAATCTCCTTCTCTCTCTCATTTCCTTATTAGTGCTAAATATCTGCCACACAATTCATGGTGGCACTCCCTTTGGCAGCTGCTCCTTGTTAACTAAACACACACTCACATCAGATAAATACACTTTAGTGCTGTTCCTGTCATAAACTTCTCCAGTGATCACATCTCTTGCTTCACTTCCAGTATCCACCTGTCTCCTGAGCAGGCACTAAAACATGAAATAAAACACGTGGATTTGCTCCCGAGAACAATCGACAGCAACTAATGGTGGTAATGCATTTCTCATTAAGAAACGTAACTCTATTTATCAAAAGTTATTACTCTGCATGTTCATCACAGAAGCACTCCTAAATTGGCTTGGAAACCTGAAGTTTGTATCACGTTTTGTCCTGAGCAGTGAAGGTGCCAGAGGTGCTCATTTCTGTAACGGACACATCTTTCTGCTGCCAATAAACAGATTTCTCTGCAGGAGAGCCATGAGGCAGTCAGCACTTAAGGTCACTGTGAAGCTTTTCCGAACAGGAATTAGTGACTGAAGCAGAAAGGCTCTCATTATTCATCCTCCAAAGTACTCACTATCATGTAAAAACACTTGAATCCAAACACTCTCCAACAAAAACAGTTCAGCAAACAGCACAAAAGTGACACGAAGGCAACCATGACACATGCTTTCCAAGCTCCAAGGCCCATTCTCTGGTGTTAATCTTTAGGTTAATTACTCTGGTTTAGAGAGCAGGCCATCAAATGGAAAAAACCCAACTTCGATTTCCAAAACAATGCACTTGAGAAGATGTAGTTCTACTTTTAAGATTGAGATGCCCACAACGGATGCAAGTCTCCAACAGAGAAATATGTTCCTGACACAAAAAAAAAAAAAAAAAAAAGTGAGAGTTTCACAATCAATCTTTCATTTTCTGATTCCTTAAAAATCCAGCTTCTGCAACATAGTGCCATTAGTAAGACCAGATGCAACTTGCACGTGAATACTTTTGTGCTTGTACAGGAATTCTTTCATGATTTTCATTTTATTAAAAGAAAATGCGGATGTCCTCAGCCCAAGTAACTACTTCAGAGAAGTTAAAGCATTCACAGAAACTCAGAATCAAGCCCTAAAATTTTGCTGGAGGACAGCAACACTTTGGGCACATTTAGATTAGTAGAATCATCAAGATTGGGAGGCACCTTTCAGATCATCCAGTCCAACCTGCCACTGACAAAACCCATCACTAAACCGTATCTCTAAGCTCTACGTCTGCCTGGCTTTTAAATCCCTCCAGGGACAGCAAATCCACCACTGCCCTGGGCAGCCTCTTCCCATGTCTGACAACCCTTTAGGTGAAGAAATTTCTCTCAATATCCATCCTAAACCTCCCCTGGTGCAACTTGAGGCCGTTTCCTGTTGTCCCATCGCCTGTTCCTTGGGAGAAGAGACCGACCCCCCCCGGCTACACCCTCCTTTCAGGGGGTTGTAGAGAGCAAGAAGGTCTCCCCTCAGCCTCCTTTTCTCCAGGCTGAACACGGGCTCCCTCAGCTGCTCCTCACAAGACTTGGTCTCCAGACCCCTCACCAGCTCCGTTGCCCTTCTCTGGACACGCTCCAGCCCCTCAATGTCCTTCCTGTCGTGAGGGGCCCAAAACTCAAGGTGGGGCCTCACTAGTGCTGAGGGCAGGGGGACAGTCACTGCCCCACTCCTGCTGACCACACTGCTCCTGACACAGGTCAGGATGCTGGTGGCCTTCTTGGCCACCTGGGCATGCTGCTGGCTCATGTTCAGCCAATTTGCAACCACCACCCCCAGGTCCTTTCCCCCCGGGCAGTCCAGCCACTCTGCCCCCAGCCTGGAGCGTCCATGGGGTCGGTGTGACCCAAGGGCAGGATCCAGTGCTTGGCCTTGTTGAACCTCACACCATTGGCCTCAGCCCACGGATCCAGCCTGTCCAGATCCCTCTGCGGAGCCGCCTTCCCTCCAGCAGGGTCGGATGTAGCTCAGAAACGGACTCGAGCACCGCGGGGAGAGGCACTGGAAGAGCTGAGAGAAGAACAGGGCATCAGTGGCTAGCAGCAGGGCTTGCTAGGTGGAGCTCATACTACTCCCCCTCCCCCCCCCATCTTCATCTCCCCCCTCAGGCCTAGAGAGCGGCTCGCAGACAGTAAAGCTCTAAAAGGCAGGCAGCAGCGTGGAGGGATTGGTTTTTATTTCAAAAGACAGTAAGACAATTTTTTTCAATTTAGTATCAAAACACTTGATAAGGTTTCTTTTCTCCAGATTGGCCCCTAAAACTGCTACAACCAAGCAGCATGCTCGAGCACAAGCTACACGCCACGAGCCTGACACGTCTCCACACTCACGCCTCACAACAACTACACGTCAGCAATGCACAGCAGGATGGCTTGTACCTCATTAAGACACTAAGAGCACTCCTGGCCAGGAGGGAAGGCCTCAGCTCCCTCCCTCAGGGTAGGGAAAAAAAAAAAAAAAAAACACAACAAAACAACTTCCCCAAGAAAACAAGGCTGTTGTACTTAAGCTGTTAAGTGTAACCCAGCAATGAGCGATAAAGCTTGGTGCGTCAGCACTTAGTGAAGGCAAATTCAACGCCTGTGTAGCAATGGGTTAGAGGGGCCGAGGCTTCTCGAAGCCTATCAGAAAAGGAAGCGGCCAACGGTGGGAGGGAGGGAAGGGAAACAAGCCCTGTGAAGGATCAATGGTTCAGATAACAGGCTTGGCTTTAAAAAAAAAAAAAGAAAAAAAAGTCTCCTTTTGCCCAAGTTGCTTCTCCACAACACAGAGAGTTACCTTAAAGCTGAGAAACTGAACTGCACTTTTGGCAAGCAGCTCCTGGAAAGGAAGTTTACCCCACAGGCTTCCATCCCTAGCCTGGCTACTCTGATTCAGTGGCCCACAGCCAGGAACCGTCACACCCTCCTTCCTCCCCTGCCAAAGCAGGGTGGCCCAGAGCTGATTAAGAGAAGGTTAATACCAAATTTTAAAGCCAAGAGCTTTGAAGTGTAGCTCACCAGCCTCAGAGTTATTTGGAATGTTCACAATGGTTGCTACAAAAAAAAGGTAGTTACAAAATGTATACATCTCGAACATGCTCCCCAAACATTATTGCATTGTTCATTTCCCTTAATAATGCTGTTTGAAGCTCTGCCCAACCTGATGGCCTTTAACCCTGAGGCAAAGGAAGATTTGTGTTTGGTCAAGTTGGCAACAGAAAGTAAACTCTGGTCGCCCAGGGTTAGAGGCCAGCGGCGGCTGGGCCGGCCCCCCCAGGCGTCGTGTGGCGGAGGTGGTGGCAGGGATCCTTTACATCTCGTTCAGGTCTAGCAGGGTCTGGTCCAGCATTCTTTGCGTGCAGAGATGCTCCTCTTTGGTGGATTTCAGTTTATCTGGCAGGAAGCAAGAGTCAAAGAGTTACAGGTCGGCCTCATACAGGTGAGAACGCTCGGCCACAGAAAGCTTGTGCTAGCCCCTTCCCAGCAAGTCCTCAGGCTGGGGGGTGCCTGGCTGGGTGCAGCAGAAGCTCTGAGGTTGAATTTGTAGCCTGTGCCCCTGGCATTGCCAGGGCTGCCAGTGGGCACGGTGGCAGTGTACGTTTAGGCAGCGCTGAGGCAGTGTTTTACATGCAGGTGCCTCTGACTGGAACTAGCTTTCCCCAGGGCTTCAACGCTTCCAGACAGCAGACCCCCGTAGCCCAGCAAGCCACCCAAGAGCAACGCAGAGATTAAAAAAAAAAGAAATCACAATTAGAAATCACACACACCCTCCCCCCCCAAGAATTACAGCTGGTTGTGCCCCTCCTCTGGCCCCCCCCCCAGCACAGGACAGAGACGCCAAGCCGGTCACCAAGACCGTAACTACCTACAGCAGCAAGGAGCAGACAACGGTGCCTCAGGGACAGCGGGGAAGAGGCTGCTGTCAGTGAGGGGCAGGCAAGGGAGCAAGAGCAAGAGGGTGCTACAACTCTGCCCGAGACTCCAGGCAGCTGCACAGTCAATTCTCACATGTTCCTTAAGCCAGGAGGAGAGCTCAGACCAGCAACTAGCGCTCTAGGTAGGCTTTACTCCAAAGGTGAGCCCACCCATATCACTGAAGACGTCCACACGCTGGGACACCGGACAGACAGGCTGTAGAAAGATGTCCTTTAGATACAGACAGTTTCTCAAAGCCGCTCCCCAACCTCCCCAGGGTCAGAAACTGTGTGCAGAGCAAGAAGGAGCCTTCCTAGAGCACTAGCAACTGCAGTGTGTAAAGATTCCCTGCAAGCACTCAAGACACAGCTTCATGCTGTGGGTTGTGGGACTTGCTTTCAAGATGTCCATGAGTTTTCCCAGCTGGTTCTGGCTGGGGCTCTGCAGCTGCACCGGGGGGGTCAGGCCCCAGGAATGACCACTTCCCCCAAACCTTCTAAGTTAGGATTTAACTATATAGGAAAGTACTACAGGTGTGCAGTGGTTACAGACCACGAGGTCAGTCATTTATTGTTAGAAGCCATCTTTCCATGCAGCAGGAAATCCTACAGTCATTGAGCTAACAGTAAATTAAATCGTAGCACTCAACAGGCATCTATTAGCAGACATCAGCCTAACTTCACCCCACCCCTCTCCTGGCGGGTGCAGCCATTCTGGTTCCACGGAGGAGCCAGGCAGGACCCCCTGGACAAGGGAACAAGACTGCTCAAAAAACAGCCAAGTCTGAGGGTTACTTCACAAAGAATAGAGGTTACCTTTATATAAAAAAAAAAAATTCAAACTCTTAAATAAATGAGAGGATAAATTCAAGTGCCCCATTAAATAGCAGCAATTGCATAAAATTTGCAAGTCTGCCAGTCTTAAGAATGATCAGATTTCACTGTGGTCCACAGCACTGGTGGTCGCAATAAGCTTGTTTAAAGGCATTAGTGGGCCCCCTTCTCAGTCACACAGATCATGCAGCATTAACTTCAGCTCGTTAGAGAGCAGGCGGTTTTTCTCAAGTTGGCTGTACAGGCGCTCTGCAGCAGCAACAGGATTAGGGAAAACAAGAGGAAGAGAGAAAAAAGAGAGAAAGGGAAGGTTAGTAGAGTACCAAGATGAGCACATCAAATAAGCTGTCTCCATACTGCGTGTCCCTGAGGATCAAGTCCAGGCTATTACACAGATGAAGCCAGGGAGAACAAAGGCATGTCTTACTCTCATTTCAGCTTAGGAAGATCACAGAGGAAGCCAAGTGCAGGCAGAAATGGAAGTGCCACTAAGGGCTTGTGAAAGCAAAGAAAAGAAGAGGACACCAGAAGAGGAGCCTGCAGGCTGGACTTGGGTAAAGAGAGATTTGGGGTGTACTTTAAGCCTGTGGAGCACTTTTCAGAAAGCAGCAGTCCTACCTCAGCTGAACCAGAAGCACCTTCCTAAGTGACCACACAGCAGGGGGACTGACAGGGTTTTGACAGTAGGTTTTGACCAGAAGAACTGAGAATGACAGCATCTCATACCTGACCTGGAGGACACGCCTCCAAGGTCATGTCTTTATGCCACACTAACAACCCACCACGACCAGACAAGGACTGAAGGCAGTGCCTGCATCAGGCACAGGACAGGGGAAGTTCTAGAGCACAGGCTCCTGCTTGATGCTGGCCCCAGACCAACTAAATGAGCTGGGCACAAACTGCCTTTGCCCCCCACCCCGTCCCTGCCCGTACCACCTCGCAAGGCTCTAGTGGCCGCATTCATCCCCAAGGCTGGTACCAAGCACACGTGGTCATCAGCCACTCCAGGGAAAGGGACCATCTCCCAGAACAGGTCACCCTTGAGAGCTGGATGGCCACTGTCCCGTCACGCAGCCTGTCAGTCACCACAGAGAACCCATTCAGCATTTACCTCTGCCCATCCACACACACTTATCATGCTGGGAGGACCGTGCCCAATTCCTGCATTTGGGGGAATTCCAGGCAGTGAAAAGTCCTTTTATAGCACAGCGTCCAGCCCAGCAGAACTCATCATCACAACCTGCAGCGATCCACACAGTGTGCTGCCTCCACCTGATGAGTGAGCACAGAGACAGGAGCTCCTGCTGCCCTTAGGCTTCTCCTCAAATCATGGTACAAGGTCGTTAGGAATCTAGGGCACGCCCTGAAGGGGATCTACACCATTCCTCATTGCTTTCGCTATTTTGCTCTTGAACAAGACCTGGCCAGGAAAGGTTCAGGACACCGAGTCAAGCTGTTCACGTGGAGCAGCCAAAGCATGTCCCTGTCTGCCCAGTCCCTTCAGTGTGACAACCACACACACAGGGGGAAGCTCACCCTCACCCAGCCACCCTCAGACCTGCTCTAGCTGCACCTCACTCTGCAGGACAGGGGATAGTAGCGCTGATCAACTCGCTCTCTGGTCTCCAGGCTGGTTCTGAGCAGGTTGGACAGGCACTCTGATGGTACTGGGCACCCTATGCCAGTCTCCAGCCCCAGGTGACAAAGGCTGGTCCTGGGTCTCCAGAGTGGCAGGGGATGGGAGTGAACCGCTGTCAGAAGTACCAGTGACTGCAGGCAGGTGACACAGGCTCATGGCCTTCAAGCAAGGGTTACTGCTTGTGGACAGGACCTAATGATCCACCCCCACGAGGGAGGGAGCAGACTGAAGTTAATTAGCATGACCCTTCCCACGCCTGGGTCTGCTGCGCTGGCTCCAGTGTTTGTGTGGCCTGCTTCCCTCTCCGCCCAGCCCGCAGGGCAGCCTTACCAGCCACCCTTGGAACCCAGGGAGCTCTAGGACCTGTGCCTCCTGGTCAGCTAATCTGCAGTTCCAGCACTCCTGAGTCACCAGCCCAGCTCAGAGTAACCAGCCTGCACAAGCCTCACAATCCAGTCAGACCAGATGCCTCTCAGAACCTCCCAGGGCAGAAGTTGCATCACCCACCCATCCATCCATCCACCACCCAGCGTGGAGCTCCACCAGGACAAGCAGGAAAAGGGCCTGCCACAGCCCAGTCTGTGATAAGATCGCTTGCAACACCACTGTGCAACAGCAGAGCCACCAGCTCCACGCAGTTCGAGCCAGTAACAAACCCACAGCCAACAGGACCTCCCCATGAGGAGATAGGCCATTTCACAAGGGCAGGGTGTCACCTCCCACCTGGTGAGAGCTGGCAACTGAACGCTGGGCCAGAAGCCTCCGCACACCCGGACATTGGTGACAGAAGCTCTGCCACTCCCATGGGATCCAGAGCTCCAGCTGCAGGTTTGGTTACTGAGAGTTACGGCTTCTTGCTTTGGGCTTACAGGACACAGAGTTATCACCCCATACCCCACCACATACCCCAGACCACCATCTACTAGATCTTTCCAAGCTTTACCCTTTGAAATTCCCTGTGGCAATGCTCCCTCCTTTTCCCCCCCAGACCTGGCAGAGAGGGGACAGCCCTGACACAGGAGACAGAGCGAGAACAGGCTGGGGGAGTTGAGCGTGTCTGGACTATCCTCAGCGCTGGTGCCATTTGTGTGGAGAACAGAGTGACACAAACCTGAGGAAACCACGGGAGGTGTCTCATTTCATCAAAATTCTGCTCATGAAGGGCTCTTCGGGCACTGCGGCAGATGAACCAATCCAGAAAGGAAAAAAAGTATTTGACAAGCCACCACGAGGCAGCACATACAGTTACGAGAGGCTGATCAGTGTTTATGATACCAGAGCAACTAACAACACACTCAGACCAGGGGTGACGTGCGTCAAGTGTTTGCAGCCTGCAGTGCTCAGTGAAAAGCTCCGTGCCACGCTCCCAGGAGGACACTGTCACCCCCCAGCCCCCACATGGGGAGGGGAGGACTCTGTAAAAGGCACATTCCCTGGCCGGGGCGCCCACCGCCCTGCCACAGTGCACTCTCATTCCTGAGGCAAAGGGCCATACATCCCCTCCGCAGGCCCAGGCAGCACCTCGCACCCCACCAGTCCTGTCCAACTGGAAACCAGCCAGAGATCACTCGATATTTATTAGCTTGCACGCCCTGAGAGTGACCTAGCGATTATCAGGTGTGGTGACTTCCCACTGCAAGCCAGCATTTGGCAACCGAGGCCCGTGAACCCCACAGAGCGGGGAGGTGTGAGGAGTCTCTTCAGCCAGGCTGAAGCAGGCACAGCTCGAGGAGCTCCTGTGACAAACCCCCCCATTTGGCCCCACAGAGCACGCTGCCACCCAGGCACCCTCTGCAGAGCCACCAGTCACATCTGGGAGCCAGTAAGACACCCAAAGAGAAAAACCCAGTGCGTTAATGAAGTCTTGTGTATTCCACTGAAGGTGATGAGGATTACACTGGCTTGAAGGCAACGTTGCAACAGTTACTCTAAAGCAGCAAGTGGTCACTAGAAACCCATTTCTCAAAAGCGCCAGCCGTTCCATTCAATTTATACACGGGTTGTTTTCCTTAAAAAAGGTGACATCATGCTCAAGCAAGAGGCAAGAGAAATACAAAAGGAGCTTTATGGCTCTACACAAGATATGCAGATGAGAACAACATACTCCCAGCTACACCCAGACATTGAAAGGGCAGCCCCTCAGCGCACAGCAGTGTCTGGCACATCGGGTCAAAACAGTGGGAGCTTTGTTTAGGAGCAAGTGCAGCATAACTGGGGGGCTGCTGCTGCCAGGCTTCAGCGTCTTTACAGCACTCATTCCCAGGGATGCCCTGGGCACAGTAACTGGAAAAAGGTACTGGAATTCAGAGCGAGATGACGAGAGCGTGAATGCAGGGTGCAGATGCAGAACAAGCCATCAAGCAGAAAGGCAAATCCAAAGTGGAGTTTGGAATCGCAAGACTTATCTGTGTGAGATAGAAGGAGACACTAATTTTAAGACAAGTTGAAGTGTTTGTGCACAGCAAACTTGGCTTAGGAAGCTTTTGGACACTAGCGTTGTAGTCACGTTAAGGCTCTTCCTCTGCAGCGCAAGTACCTGGCCTCTCCCTGGTTAGTGGTAAGGACCCTGCGGAGCAGCCGTTAGTAGAACCCACTACAAATCCCAACAAAAAGCTGAGTAGCAAAGTTGCAGAAAACATAGGAGTTCAGCTACTTCCACAGATCAGTTCATGACCCAGCACATCTCAAGCCTGTTAACGGCAATGCCTAAGGAATCCACTCGAGTGCTATCCACAGCCTCTTCCAGGAGGAAACCCGAGGCTGTGGCCCAGTGGCTCCAGCAGGCAACCAAGGTACATTACCTTAGGAAGCCTTTCCCAGTGGGACTGGGAATTGCACTCAAGAGTTCAAGTCAGAACCCTTTCAGGCCAGCACAGCACTTAGTGTTACACATGCAGATCACAAGGGCCAGGAGTTAGAGCACAGCATGCTGCAGGGAAGCCTCCACAATCCTGGAGGCAGAGATCTGTAGAAGTAACCTAGACACAGTGCCATGGATTCTCCAGCTATGAAGATCACAGCAACCCAAGCAAGCTCTGGCGGTCTGGCCTGCTGAAGCGAGAGGCAAACACCAGCCAGCTCATATTTACATGGAAGTCATGTCATTCAGGGCGTGGTCCAGTTCCTCACTAATTGCTTTGTACTTCAGTTTCTGGGCATAGAGCTCATCTAGAAGAGGGTTAGGAGGAGAACAAAAGGGAAACAATGAGGGAGGGCAGAGTTCTTCCAACACCCTGGGGCAGGAAAAGCAGTATGGGATTCATGAACAGAAGAAAATGAAGTTAGATGTGGAGCCATCATGACTCTGTATTAGTTGCTAACAATGACCGGGAGGGTTCCAGCAGCCTGAGGACAGTCTGGTCTGACCAGCAAGTGCCTTCCAGGATTATAAGCTAGCTCCGAGGGGAGCAGAGCCAAGAACTCGAACTTGTGAGAACAAGCTGCCCAGCCAGGTCAGCAAAAATCACTGACAGGAGGAGCAGTGGGGAAGGGCAGCTCCATCCGCTCAGGGAGAAGCTCGCTACACCTAAGGCAGGCACAGATCAATCAAGGTGCTTTGTTCTCACCTTCCATCTCAACCCAAAAAACCTGCTTGGGAGAAATCAGTCACATAATAGTCATGGGCATCAGAGGGAATTCCCGTTGTGTAGCACAGAGCCTGGCAGTGTGAGCCCCACAGACAGGCCACACCTGTGCTCTCCATCAGATAATGGAGCAGACCAGCTGATCACCTGCCTTAGGGATGGAGGCAGGCCTGGAACTCTGTACTGCTGCACTCCTTGAGCACCACAGAGCTGGCACGGGCTTTCCCCTGCTCTGGCTGCCTAGTACCGTACAGCTGGTAATGCCGTTAACAGCTCCATAGAGCCCAGAGAACTTTGTCAGTTGTCATAAACTAGGTCACTTCAGCAGCAAGGCTGGAGACCAGGGCCAACTCTCCATCAACATGTTTCAAGGGGAGCATGCAGGGATCTGGCGGAGATTTTGCAGTTCCCAATAAAAGCTTGCCCTGGATCATGAGGTGGCTCGGATTGCTGCTTGGCGGCGGTTCTGGAACAGCTCAGCTGACACCATTGCTATTTCTAGATTAAAAAAAATAAAATCTCCCGAGTGACTCCAGATGGTAGGATGTGGCTTTGAATCTCCAAGACCTAGCACTAAGAGACCAGAAAGGCACATGCTGTGGTTGAGGCATGATGCCTGTACCAGTTTTGGTTTACCAGCACCACCACTCCAGCCACAGCCCCACATTTAAGGGAGGCAGTTGGAACCTTCTCCTTCCATGGCTTGGGGAAAGGTAGGACTGCGACGGCTGGCCTCAGGAGTGCTCCTGAAGTACTGCAAAACCAGGAACAGGGGGAGGAAAGGAACCCATCCTTGGCAGAAGCTGACCACCACAGCGCACGGATGGGGCTCCTGATGATTTAATCTCAAACCAGGAGCGATAATGGTCCTAAGTCTTCATGGGGGCTGTTTCATGACTCACTGACTACTCTGGTTGACTTACAGCAACGCTATCTGCAGCAGCCAGCCACCTGCAGGAGATCCTGCACACAAGTATGTTATTGTAACCAATTCCTGTCGGGTTCAGGCATTTTTTCCCTACGCCACTCCTTAAATAGGGCTAGGTTGGAGCACAGGAATCCAGTTACATTCCTGAGGACATCCCAACCAAGACACCAGCCACACTATCTGTTGCTATCAGTCAGATAAGGCAAGGTGTTTGGATCAGGAGCTTGTGGGCTGCCGCAGCAGAGCCAGGCAGTTGTTTGCAGAGCAGATACACGGGGCATGACTCTTGAGCCCAGAGGCACCAAGCCTCACCTCAGAAGCCACGTTAGGTCATGCTCCAAGTACTGAGGAGCAGAGCAGTATCTCCACTCTCCAGCTCTCTGGGAGACAGCCCTCTTCAGCTCCCCACACCTCACCATGTGTTCTTTGACTTCCCATCCCCAGAATGTACCTTCCAAATCATCAATTGTCTTCTCCAGCTTGGCTACAGACCGTTCAGCAAATTCAGCACGGGTCTCCGCCTGCCAGACAGAAGGGAGCCAGTTAGTGCAACAACTCTGGGATACAGCAAAGGAGGCATCAGCTGAGGACATGAAGTCTCCCAACCAGTCAAGCTGAGGCCAGCGTACCCAGGTGGGCTGTCCCAACATGGTCACTCACCTCTTTGAGTTTATCAGTCAAGATCTTGATCTCTTCTTCGTATTTATCCTCTTTTTGGGAGTACTGTGGAAAAAGAGGGGAGTTAGCAATCAGCAGCCCCAGGTGTGTCCCACTCCAGAGAGCCCACAGCTACACAGGGAGACTTAAACTCCTCACTGCAGCACACATGCCCACAGAAACTTCCAACCAGGAGTTGGTCACACCCCCTACCCTGGTCCAACTGGGTCAGGCAGCAAGTCCCACACCATGCACATAACACAAACCTGGGCACAGAAAAATTCTCATCCCAGCAGCATAAACAGCTGGGCTGGTGGAGTCTGCCCTGAGGCAGGGAAGGGCAGCCAGAGCCAGACCTCCCGCACTCCCAGCTCCTGCAGTCAGTGCTAGCCCTGCACTGCATCCATTAGCTCTCCCGGGAGAGCAGGCACAGCTCTCCTGGCTTGCTCAAGACTGAGGTTGCATCACTTCCATCCCAGTGGGTGCTCCACGGGTACACACCCTCCTACCAAAACAGAAATCTTTCTGGCCCTTGGACAAGCAGCCCTACCTTCTCAGCCTGAGCCTCAAGAGACTTGAGATTGTTGGTGACATTCTTCAGCTCTTCTTCCAGCTCGGAACATTTACTGTGGGTTTTCGTAAAGAAAGGAGAAAAAGGAAAAAGAAGTGGGAGGGAAAGACAGGAGACACAAGAAGTGAATCCACGTGCAGGGAAGACCAGGAAGTTCACAAGGAGACAGTCTGTGATCAGACTGGACAGGACCCTGCTTTCAGGCACTTGTGCGGAAAGCAAGTTCCCTTCCTGCCTCCAAGTTCATATTTTAAGTATCCTGCCAGCACATGCGCAGGGCACTGAGCTGAGCAGCTGAGATATGGACACAGGTTTCTGCCGGACCTGGAGTCTTCAGGTAGAAACTGCTTGTTTAGTTTGCTGTAAGGAGGGAAGCTGCTCTGACAGACTGATAGACAGCCACCACCACTCCAGCAGGAGTATTTATGGGCAGAGAGGACAGAACATTCCAGGAGAGAGAAAGATGCAGATAAGCTGAGGGAAGGAGCGTAGCAAGAAGACCACAAGAGTTCTGGTTTAATGGTTCGAGAAGGGAAAGGTTAGTACCTTTTCTTCGGCAACAGACAGACACTTCAAGTTCTGCTCCATCACTCTGATCTGCTCCTGCAGCTCCCGGCAACGACTGTTAGTGACGGTCACACGATGGCACAAGCCAGGTAGGGGCAAGGGTCAAAAGGAGCACCAATAACACAATACCGCAGAGCAAAAAAGGGGGTAGGGGAAAAACACAAAAAAGTCATGGTCATGACATGCATGTCTGGGCAGGAAGCACAGTGCTACTGCTGCCTACACACTAACTTTGTTAGACAAGGCCTGGAGTCCAGGAAAGCCCTGACCTCAAGGATCAGCTCAAGCATCCAGACATGTGAAAGGAGCCCAAACAGCGCAGTCTGCGTGTCTGCTCCCAGCAGAGGACACCCCGCTCACTGCTCAGCAGTGCAGAAGCCTGTAGTGGTTACCGCAAATATTTTAAGAGGCCAAAGACCAAACTCAGCCATAGCTCTGACCACGGACATCCCACAGGCCACTTCAGCTCCCAGTCTGGAGCCTCTGCTGCTTTAGCACAAGTGCTGTGCGTTCACGTGCCCTGTGGCACCATGTAAGGAGGCAGTGACCATACATACAAAGCGGTGCTGGTGAATAAATACCAAGTGGAGAAGGATTCTCTGGCCCCCCTGACCAGGGAGTCCCTCCATGCAAAGGGGCAGAACATCTCCACACCAAATCACATCACAAACTCCACGTCCTCAGTGGATCTAATCCTGTTCTGAGCAGGAGAGTGTTCCAGCTCTTCCATCTAAGGCTCTAAACCCACCCTGTGCTTCAGGCCTTGTGTAACAAGGTTAGAAATGCTGTGTTAGTTCCCATGCAAAGGTAGACGTGCTGGTTACATGCAAGCAGATTACTCACGACTCTGCAAGCTCAGCTCTCTCTTCAGTGCGCTCCAGATCCCCTTCTATGATCACCAGTTTCCGAGCAACCTGGAAGGAAGAAATGGAGTTAAGAGGAAGGAAGATGATTTTGTACTTACAGGCTGTGCAAGACAGTAAAGGGAACACCTGCAGGAGTCACTGGAGCTGCCAGAGCCTTTGGGCTATGGCGAACACTGATGTAGCTCTGCTGAGAGCCAGGCCCTCCCCCCAGGTTCGCTGAGGAAAGCCCTGCCAGCAGGAAGAGGAGCCGCCTCTCCTGGCCAGGGTCAGCTGGACCAGAGCATCCAAGGGTCTCACCTCCTCATACTTCCTGTCTGCCTCCTCCGCAATGTGCTTGGCTTCCTTGAGCTGGATCTCCTGCAGTTCCATCTTCTCCTCATCCTTCAGGGCTCTGTTTTCAATGACTTTCATGCCTCTGCCCAAACGAAAGCACAGGGAGGGGAGATGCATAAAACAATCCTGTACAAGCCAGCAATGTATGAGTTCCAGAGCGTTTACAGTGCTCCCCTGGGACCATGTTATGAGCTGCAACACCTCTGAGTGCAGAGGATAGCACAGGAAGGCAGCCACGGCCAGGCTGATGCAAATACAGCCGCCTCGATTGCTCAGAATTAAGTGTGCCTCGGAGTGTTACTCCAGCAGCTCATTTGGCCCCTGGACCACGGGAAACGTGGTGCTGCCGAGAAGAACGAGCCAGGCCGTCTCAGGGGCTCCACACAGCTGAGCCAAGCACTTTCCAGGCAGGAACGCAGGAAGAGCCAAGCCCATCTTTATGGCAGGATATCAGCTGGGTCAGGCTGTTCACTATGGCCTGTGCACCAGTGAAGCACATCAGCCACCTGGGAGCGGCCCGCTCCCCTCGGAATCACTGCCAGGCCAGGGAATGGCTGCCAGGAGGGAGAAAGCTGGCAGAGGCAGTGGGAAGAGAGGCTTCCCCACCAGCAGCCACCTTTATAAGTCAACAGTGTCCCAGTACCCCCTTTTTTCTCCTCCCTGGGAGGCGGGGATGTGTGGTATCACACAGCACTTCTTTGCTCCTTTCCCCTCGGGTTCCAAGGCACTCACCCAAGGCCAACAGCATTGTTTTAGCTGCTCTGCACAAGCGGGTACTGACTCCCACATCCAGCCTTGATGTGGTATCTACTTCCCACCCTCCAGGAAGCCCAAGAGGCTGATGGCACTAGGCCCTCAGTCAGGAACACGTCTGAGATGTCTGACAGAGTAAGGGCAGCAGCCCTTGCTCACCTTTCACTTTCATCTGCAGCCTTCTCTGCCTCCTCCAGCTTCTGCAGAGCTGTGGCAAGGCGCTCCTGGGCTCGGTCTAACTCTTCCTCCACCAGCTGGATACGGCGATTCAAAGATGCCACTTCTGCCTCAGCCTAGAGGGAGCAGAGGAGTGTGGCTCAGTCTGTGGCAGGTTTAGCACAGGGCAGCGGAGCTCTTCCTTCAGCTCAGCTGCAGCCCATGGGAAGCCAAAACAAAGCCAGGGTACTCTATCCACTTTCTTACAGTGGCTGCGCTCCCATACACTTGCACGCACGTTAAGCTTCACAACATTTCATGTACACGTGCTCTGTCCGAGCAGCAGTCAGTCATCCCGCAGGTTCCTCACCTGTCAGCCTGAGCTGCCGTGACAACCTAAGCCATAAACACTAAGTAGATGACTTACACTAATGGGTCTTCTCTGCAGCTGCTGTAATCCTGCCAGGCCATCAATCACAGCCCTATTTATCCACCACACCAGAGCGCTGTGACAGCTACCATTTAGCACAAAGTCAGTTTACTCATGGGATGGGGACATGAGCGGTGCTCCACGCAAGCCCTCTTATCAGCAACGTGAGAAAGATTAACAGCTTCATGTTCAGAAGTTTGCCGAGCTGTGTTCGGGCACTGCCAGGCCAGGCTCTCCACAGCGTTGCCCTAACGCAGGGCAGCAGCAGGGCTCAGCCGATCGCTGCGGTGCCCACAGCCCCAGCAGCCCAAGCCCCAGTGAGCCGGCCGTGCTCTGAGCTTCCTTCCTCCCAGTGACTCACTAATAACTCAGAGAAAGAGCAAAAGCCTCAGCCAGTCTTGAGACAGGTTGAGGAGGCCGATCCCCAGCAACAGCCGCAGCCAACAGCTACCTCGGCTCAGTCACATACGCCAGGAGCTGGTGAAACTGCCACGAGCCCTCGGGCGCCGTGCATTTGCCAGAAGCGTGACCACAACAGTGACCGAGGCTTTAATGAATCAGCAGAGATCAGAAGCCATCACACCCCGGCGAGGCCTGTTATGGCAGCTCTGCTATCAGCCACAGGGCATCTGCTTACAGCCCAGACCGTGTCAGCCACGACCAGAGCCCGGGGGGAAGCCCAGACGCTTTGGGGACACCAATGGCCCACGTGAGCTGCCCTGGGGGAACCCAGCACCCTGCTCTGCAGCAGGAACGCTGTGCTAGAACAGAGATGGACGGGGCTGCAGGCGCTTCAGGGCAGCACTGTGACCTTCTGCAGAGACCCGCGCGCAGGCACATGCCAGGCATATATGGAATATCCCAGCTAATTGTAACAAAGCAGCCTGCAAGGACGCGCTGCTTCCCACCGTGCCCAAGGAGGGAGGAGCAGAGAGATGAAAGAAGCCAGTGTTAGAGCAGGGCCCGACACAAACCACGTTCAATTCCCAGAAGAGACTGTCCGAGCTCTTCCCCCCAAGCTTGGCACCCCCTACACCCCCACCCCCAGCATGTTTCAAGGCCAGGTTGTGAGAGCAGGAGTTGCAGAGGAGCTCCCCTGCTGGCACACCCTGCTCTTCACCGGGGAAACCCGCAGCACTTTGATGCTCAAACAAGGCAGTGCTGCCCCACAGCCAGCCCCACCGGCACGTTCCTCCTCCTCCAGAGGAAGTGGTCTGCTCGAAGAGGAACAAAATGATACGTTAAACAGAACTGGGAAGGAGACTGCTTGACACAAACATCTTTTGCCTGCTAAAAAGGCAATGAGCTGTCAAGGTAGAGAGAGCCTCCTCCTTCTCCCGGGGGATGGAGACACACCAGCACAGCAGGTCTCCATTTCCTGCCACCACCCCCCTCCCCAAACCACATCATTTAGCCCTGACTTCCTACAGGCAGCACTTAACCCACCCAAAAACTCACTCTTGTTTTTACAGAGCTGCCTCTCCCCCTCTGCAGAGTTGGAAGGGACCTTAGAGATCATGGAGTCCCTGCCCTGGGCAGGGACACCTCCACTCAAGCAGGTTGCTCCAAGCCCCATCCAGCCTGGCCTTAAACACTTCCAGGGATGGGGCAGCCACAACTTCCCTGGGCAACCTGTTCCTCACAGTAAAGAATTTCTTCCTCATATCTAATCTAAATCTCTCCTCTTCCAATGTAAAACCATTACTCCTTGTCCTCTCACTACACTTCCTGACAAAGAGTCCCTCCCCAGCTCTCCTGTAGCTCCCTTCAGATACTGGAAGCTGCTATGAGGTCTCCCCAGAGCTTTCTCTTCTCCGCCTTCTACACTTCCACTTCTTCTACACCTCCCTTTCTGCTTCTCCTCACTGGACACAGCCGAGCTGTCGGGCTCTGGAGCACAGGGGTGACACTTCCAGGCAGTCCTGCTGCCAGCGGAACAGTCTCCTCATCCCACGCTTCCTTCAGGAAGGCAGCCCTGAGTCAGGGAGCTACCGGGAGCCCCGCAAGCCAAGAGCGGAGCTCCCCTCAGCCATGGAGGCTCCACCACCACTTCCCCAGGCCACCGAGATCCGACGGGGACATTCCTCAGGACCCAAGGGCCAGCCCACAGGGTGAGTTCAAGATGCCACTACACTGGGAGCACTGGTTCCCTCTCCCCAGCAGCCAGGCTGGGAGAAACACGCACGTTCCCATGACAACACCGCTATGGCAAGAGAATTCCTTATGTGGCTGCAAAGCCCGGGCCCAGCTGAGCTCTGGGAGTGGCCTGGTCCCGCACGGCACGGGATTCTGCCACCAGCCCCAGCAAAGCCCCGACGGTCCCCCGGCAGCCACCAACGCCGCTCCTGACGGACACGGGGCACGGGCACCGGGCGTGCAAAAGCCTCAGCTCCACGTTTTTCAATAGAACCGGCAGCAAAAATAAAAAAATAAGAAAATCACTCTGCGAATTCGCAGAGAGTCCCGCTCGGCCCCGAGCCACCCACCCACCGGGACCGGCCCCGTGTCACCCCCTCCGCCGTCCCCACGACGGGACCCCCGGCCCCGCTGAGCTCCCAGACCCTGCCCTGCCTGCTCCCTCCTTCCCTCCCCGCAATCCCAGTCCCCGCCGGTCCCGGGGGCAGCGGGGGATCCCCGCCGGCCAGGATGGGGAGCCCGGGAGGTTTCCCGTCCCCCCCGCGCTGGCAGCGGCACCGGCGAGCGAGCTCCCTTCCATTTTATCACCGCATGCCAAGGCTACTCACACCTTTGTGCTTGCAACACTGGGCCAGACAAGATGGCCGGGTTCCTCCCCCTCCTCCGGCGGCTCCGAGCCAGCGGGCGACCGGGGGAGGGGGGAAGACCCCGACCGAGGGGGAGACCCGGGGACCGGCGCGGGGGGACCCGTGACGACGAACGACGGAGCCGCCGGCTCCCTCCAGCCCCAGTCACTCCCCAGCACCGACCCATACATCGCGGCTGGGGGGCTCCGGGGACCCCGGCGAGACCCGCCGCCGCCACGGGGGACGCTGAGCGGGGACGGGACACCCCACCACCCCCCCCGGGCCCCGCAGACACCGCGAACGGGGCTGCGAAGGGGGACCCGAGGCCGGTATCCCGCAGCTCCTCCCGCGACCCCCGGCACCGCCACGTCCGCGGCCCTAACACCCCCGGGGGGGTGAGCTGCGGGGGTCCCGTCCCTCCTCCAGCTTCTCGGGGCCGCCCCGTCCCGCGGCCCCGCCGGTACCTGCTCGCGGTTGCGGCGCTCGGCCTCCACCTCCCGCTGCAGCCGGTCGGCCCGCTCCTCGGCGTCGTCCGCCTGCTGCTGCAGCACCTGGATCTTGCGCTTCACCGCCTCGATGGTGGTGGCCCCCGCCATCCTTCGCCTTCTCCTCCTCCCCGCCGCCCGGCCCGGCCCTACCCGCAGCTCCGCTCCGTGCCGGCCCCGCCCTGAAATACCGGAACCCGCCGCCCCGGTCCCACCGCCCGGGAAGTGACGTTTCCCCCCCCCCCCCCCCCCCCCCGTTGCCAGGGAGACGGGGAGCCGCAGCAGCCCGCCGGTGCGCCGGGGGGGCCTGGGGACGGCCCAGGCGGGAGCGGGGACACCGGGGCCTGACCCACACAGCACCCGGGAGAGCCCCCTGTGGGGCTGGGGACACCGGGACCTGCCCCACGGGGGTGTGGGGACACCAGGACCTGCCCCACGGGGGCCTGGGGGCACAGGGACCTGCCCCACGGGGGTGTGGGGACACCAAGACCTGTCCCACGGGGGTCTGGGGGCACAGGGAGCTGCCCCACGGGGGTGTGGGGACACCAGGACCTGTCCCACAGGGGCCTGGAGACATCGGCACCTGCCCCACGGGTGCCTGTGGACACTGGGACCTGCCCCACGGGGGTGTGGGGACACCAGGACCTGCCCCACGGGGGCCTGGGGGCACAGGGACCTGCCCCACGGGGGTGTGGGGACACCAGGACCTGTCCCACAGGGGCCTGGAGACATCGGCACCTGCCCCACGGGTGCCTGACGACACAGGGACCTGCTCCACGGGGGCCTGGGGACACCAGGACCTGCCCCACGGGGGTGTGGGGACACCAAGACCTGTCCCACGGGGGTCTGGGGGCACAGGGAGCTGCCCCACGGGGGTGTGGGGACACCAGGACCTGCCCCATAGGGGCGTGGAGACATCGGCACCTGCCCCACGGGTGCCTGAGGACACTGGGACCTGCCCCACGGGGTCCTAGGGGCACAGGAACCTGCCCCACAGGGGTGTGGGAACACCAGGACCTGCCCCACGGGTGCCTGGGGACACTGAGATCTGCCCCATGCGGGTTGGCCCCCATGTGGCCTATGTGGCCCCATGTGGGCCTACATGCATAGTGACCTACCCCATGTGGTTATGGGGACACTGGGACCTGCCCCACGGGTGCCTGGGGACACTGGGACCTGCCCCACGGGTGCCTGGGGGCATGGGGACCTGCCCCATGGGCATCTGGGGACACTGGGATCTGCCACACCTGAGTGCAGGGACACCAGGACTTGACCATGCGGGTATAGGGACACAAGGGCCTGCCCCACAGGGCCCTGCCCCACACAGGCCTCCGCATCCCGCCCCACAGGGGTGTGCGCACCCCTCACCCCTGCCGTGCCCCCATGCGTCCCCCAAAGCCAGGCCCTGTCCCTCGGCCCCATGGGCCTCACATGGGCACAGCTGGGCTGCAGCGGCGCCACATTCCTGGGGACTGAGCTCACTGGCCTGGCCCCCCCGCCCCACTCCTGCTCTGAAGAGAGAGCCCCCCCACTCAGTGGGGCCAAACCCCCCCAGCCCTGAGGCAGGTCCCGCTCTCCTTTTCCTCCCCAGGACGGGGCTCTGGCGCTTGCTGCCATGCTGCTGCTGCCAGGCTCCTGCTCCGCTGCCATGCCCCAAACCCCACCATCACAACAGCTTCAGCCGCTGCTAAAACTCTCCGGTTTCAGAAGCACAAGACGTGCCATCACGCTGCCAAGAGTGATGTTCCTCTGGGCCACGAGGGGCACAGAGCCCCCCCAGGAGCTCAATACAAGTGTAACTTAGACCTGTCGCTGCCCTCGTTTGCCACGCAGCCTGTTCGGCAGCACTTCGGGCACATGAACCAAAGGGAAAGGGGGACACCAGGCTGCCACCGCTGTGCTACTTCCAAAAACCCTCAGCAGTCAGGCAGGGACATGCCCCAGGGGAGCGTGTGCCGGGGACAAGAGCTTGACGGGTCCCCCAGAGATGAGCTGGTGACCCAAAGGGCCTGGCTCTCCCTGCACCCACCAGCTGGAAGGAGTCGGGGGCAGCTCCGTGCATCCAATGCTCCAGGGTCCAAAATCCCTCCTCCTGCCCCTCTGCTTCCCCGAGCCGGGGTGAAACCAGGGGAGCCCCAAGAGCCACTCCAGTGGGGTTGTGGCTGGAAAAAGGGGGCTCTGAATGAACAGAAAGGGATTAACGAGATGTGAAGCAAGTGGGGATATTGTCCTCAGCCCTGATGGCAGGGAGAGAGGCCGAAAATGCCAGCCAGGGAGGAAAGAATGGCGTGAGGGAGGAAAGGGCTCCCCAGAGCTCCGCAAGGCCACGCTCGGTGTGTGCCGACCTCCAGCGCTGCCACACACTCGGCTGGGGCCGGGAGAGGAAGCCATGACCAGAGCCATGGGGCTGACACCGCCCGGGGCTCAGGGAGAGCCCCGCAGTTCCCGATTACACCCCAGCTCCCAGCTCGGAGCCGGGATGTGTCAGTGAGAGCCAGCCCAGGCACCGTGCCGGGGCTTGGGACACTTCCCAGTGGCCCAGCGTCGGTGGCCATGCCGCTCCTGCTGCCGGGGCAGGCGTCAGAGCTGGGCCATCAGGGAGAGGAGCCGGGGGTTTTCTTCCAGCTCCCAAAGGAGGCAAGACCCACATCTCCCAAGCGCTCGACCCCCGAGATGTGGTGGCCCCACAGGGTGACAGCCCTTTTGGCTGCGAGGAGTGGAGCCAAATTCCAGCCACGTGATGGCCGGGAGAGCGGCCGGACGGCGAAACCCTGCACCGCTCGCGCCATTGTTTTCCTGGAAACGGCGGCCAACAATAGCCAGGCTGTGCTGCTGTCACGCTGCCCACGCAGCCCCCGCCTGCCCGGGGGGGCCAAGGGCTCCCCCCTCCTCTGGAGCTCAGCTCCTCCGACAGCAGCCGTGACAGGGACCTTCCTGGGGACACGCAGGGACCCCACATCCTGCGTTCAAGGTGCTGCTCGCTGCCGCCAGCCACTGTGGCTCCGTCCCCGGCTGGGGGTCCCTGTGCCCTGCTCTCGGGACCCTGCCTGCCCACCCTGCTCTGCCCCCACTGCCTGGGATGTCCTTGCCCCCGCCACCATCCCTCTGTCCCCTGGGTCCCCCCCCCACCGAGGATGTGTCCTTCCCGGGGTCACTCTCTGTTCCCATACACAGCTTTGGAGGAGTGCACCGAGCCTGATAGGGACCTTCTGCCATCCCCAAGGCCACAGGGCAGGGTGACAAGGGGAGGGCAGCCACCCCAGCTCCCACCCTGCACCCCATACGTACATCTGCTGCCTTCTTCTCCGCCAGCTCCAGCTTCTCCTGGGCATCTTTCAGGGCCTCGGAGTATTTGTCCAGCTCATCCTCCGTCCCTTTGAGCTTCTTCTGCATGGCGGCGAGCTCATCCTCCAGCTGGAAGGGCAGCGAAAGTCACTGCAGGTGGATGCTCCTCTGGACCCCCACATGGGGGGAGAGCCCTTGGATGCCCCTCTGGACCCCCACATGGGGGGAGAGCCCTTGGATGCCCCTCTGGACCCCCACATGGGAGGAGAGCCCTTGGATGCCCCTCTGGACCCCTACATGGGGGGAGAGCCCTGCCTATCCCATTCCTTGCTCAGGTCTGCCCCACAGCATCCCTCCTGCCCCAGCCTGGAATCAGCTCTGCCCCACAGTGTCCATGTGCTGAGCCCTGGGCAGTCCTCAGGATGCCCCACGGCATCGTGACACAGTCCCTGAGCTGTGGGACAGTGACAGCTCTCACCCCGCTGTTCCCCTGACCAGAGTGTGTTGGGTCTGGGCTCAGCACGGTCCATCCCCCCAGACACCCCCAGGCTGGGGACATCTCCCACTCCCCTACCTGCTTGCTCCGCTCCTCCGCCTGCTTCTGCTCGGCCTCCGCCTGCTCCGCCCGGTCCAGGGCGTTCTCCTTGTCCAGCTTCAGCATCTGCATCTTCTTCTTGATGGCCTCCATCCTTGGTGGGACGCGGGCGCTGGCAGCGGGGCAGCGGGCAGCAGGACGGGCAAGGGCAGGCAGGGCAGTGGTGCTGCCTGATGCCTCGCTGCCCGCTTTATCAACTCTGCCCTGCCCGGTGGCACAGGGGCTTTGCCTTTCTTGGGCCGAGCCGCCTCCCCACCTTCCCAAAAAGTCTGTGCTGGGGACCCATTGTCTGCCCAGGGGGGGTCCGGGTGGCCACAGCCTTATTTGGGCTCCTGAGGACAGCTGGGGTGGTTATAAAAAGCAGAGGCAGGTCTGCAAACGGGGGGTCCCACATTGTCCTGGCTGCCTGTCCCCCCCCAACCTTGAAATGGGTCACCCTGGCCAGTGTCCTGGTGCTCCTGCCCAGCACTCCCTCGAGACACACTGGGGACATTGAGCTGGGTCCCCGTGGCACCGGCAGCAGAGCCGGTTTGCATCCCACCGGGGTGTTTTGGTGGCCCCCGGGCTGACATTTACCCGTGCCCGGGGGCAGCGTGGAAAAGGGCGAGCTCATCCTGGCGCTATTTTAAGAGCAGGGGCTTAGCAGCAGCCCCCGGCCCAAATTGTTTGGCTCGGTGGGGAGCAGAAGGCGGGAATTGAGCCCCACACCCTGGGAAGAACACCCCAGGAGCCCCCCGAGCCCCTGGCCTGGCTCCAGCCGCGCTGGTGCTTGGCCGCGGGGCAGAAGATGCTGTTGGCAGCCGGAGGAGTGAATTCCCCAGGCGCAGGGAGGAATTCTCAGGGCGAGCGGCGGCACTTCCTACGCAGCCGGGGGATTAGCAGCCTCCTTGCGCCAGCCCCAAGGTCCCGCCGGCCCCGGGAGCCAGGACGGGATCTCCCACAGGGGGACACCCACTGCGGGGCCGGGGGGCCAGCACCCAGGGACCCAGGAGACAAAGAGCCACCCCGGGAGCAGCTCCCCCCACCCCGGGCAGGGCGCCAGGAGGGACAATGCCCACCCAGGGCCCTGAGCGGCCGCTACACCTCCGTGCCCTGGGAGCCATAAATAACCCCCGTGCACCGGGGCCAGCGGAGCCAGCGGTGGGCACGGGGCCACGCGCCTTTGTCCTGGGATCATCCCGGGCGTGAGCGGGGGGGACAGGTGGTGAGCACTGACCCCACTGCCATCCCAAACCTCTGCCAGGCCCTGGGGGTGGCAGCTCCTGGCTCCCTCTCCCCGGCCCCACAGAGACCGGCGCGTGGTGCGGGCAGACAGGGGTTATTGCAGCAGCAAGAGGATGGAATGGGGGGTGCAGGAAGGGGCGCAGGGGGACCCCCCTGGCACTCCCCTCCTGCCCTCTGGAGAGTGCAGGCAGCATCTCGCCTGGTCAGCGCTGGGCATCCCTGGCGCTGTAAGAATATGTTTGATATTTAGTTGGTTTTCCAATAAAACAACCTAATATCAAACATATCAGACAGAGGCAGGGACAGGCAGAGGCGGACAGGACCCGGGGCTCAGCTCCCTGTAAGAGAAGGAGAGAAGGAGAGACTGAGAGCTGGTGGGGGGGTCACCTCTCCGGTTTGCCCGGGCAGGACCCCCCCCAGGTCACTGCGCAGGCAGCACCTCAGTGCCTCCTCAGTGTCTGGAGCCCGCCTGGGCAGCTGCGCCAGCACTGGGATGCTCTGGGATCTGGTACTGGGATGCTCTGGATCTGGGATCTGGAGCCGTCCTGCAGTGGGGACGAAGCCAGAGCAAGGCAGTGCTCCTGGCACGGCACGCCATGGCACGGCATGGACTGGCATGGCATGGCAAGGAAGCGCTGCCCACCCGTCCCTGCGCTCCCAGGGCCAAGGGGACCCCACGTCTGTCACTGCCTTACCTGGGCCGGCGTGGGGGGCTCCTCGGTGGAATGGTTCAGGGGCTGCCCAGCCACCATTTATAACCGCGCTCAGCTGCACCCGGCGGGGGGATGCAGCCGGCAAACGCCCTGGCCCCACGCACGTGGCCTCGTTCCCATTAATTACCACCCATCGACGTCCCCCTGCCCCCTCCGCGGACCCCCGCGCCCTTGCCGCTGAGCGCTGCCAGTCGATACGGGTCGATGGCCCCGCGCCGCCTGCTCCTGCCCCCAGCCACACGCCGCCGTCATTAGCGGGGCCGTCGATACCGGGGAGCCAGGCCCGTCCCGGCGGGCTCTGCGCCACCGAGGGGGCTGCGCCTGACCCTGCCCAAGGACGAGCCTTGGCCAGTGCTGGGGGGCTGTGTCCCTCTCCCCTTGCTTTGGGGGAGCTGCTGGGACACCCTATGCACAGGGGTGGCCGGAGGAGGTGACCACTGTCACCCTGCCCCATGTTTCATGTGGTCCCCCCACGCTGGGCAGAGCTGGGTGACGAAGATGGGACCCCAGACCCATTCTGGGGTGGTCATCCTGGCTGGTGGCCTGCAGCCAGGAGGGCACACAGGGTCTCTTGAGATGCTGGGGCCATGTGTCTCCCCACGTCGTACTGGTGCTTCACTGCAGCGGCACACATCGGCCTTGGGAACGGCACTGGGGGAGCTCTGTGGTGGCCCAAGTTTTGGGGGGCCAATGGGGCAGGACATGGGGCAAGTGGGAGCCCTGAATGCCTTTTGGGAACCGGCGCACAGCCCCTGCCCTGCTGCCTGCCTGGGCTGGCAGGGAGGACATGGGGGTCTGGCCCCACGGGGGTGGCAGTGGGGCAGCAGGGCCGTGCAGGGAGGGTGGCAGTGGGGACACACGTGGCGGCAGCAGGGTGCCGGGAGCGGGCGTGCAGCGGCGGCTGATGTGATGCATCCGGACAGCCGAGCTAATGAAGGGCCGTGGGCGGGGGGTGCCGGCCCTGCGGCCCCCAGCCCTGTCAATAAGCAGAGCCAGGGCAGGAGCTGATGGGCCCTGGGGCTGGGAGACACCAAGGTCGGGCGCAGGCAGCGGGGACGGCAGTGGGGGGACAGAGCCCCCCCAGTCAGGGGGCAGGCAGGGGCTCAGGGGTGCCTGAATGGCGAGTGGGGCCAGGGAGTGTTGCACCCGGCCGGGCTCCTCTCCCCACTGCTGTGTCACACGGCCGGGAGCACCGTGACAAGGGGGACAGGAGCATGTGGCCGTGTTGGGACCCGTGCCGGAGCGGGACGCAGCCATGTAGCACGCTGGCCGTGCTGCCATCTCCTGGCGTGACCACGGCCGGGCCCGTGTGTGCAGGATGTGGCACGCGTAGGGTGATGGTCAACGTCGTCTGGATCCCAACCACAGGGATCATGCTGGGCTGTCCCTTCCCTCCACCTCTGCCCGGGTCTGTCCCATGTCCCAATGCCCAGCAGATGCAGTGCCCGTCTTGCTCAACATGTTTTATTTGAAGCCAGGTGATGCCAGGTGGGTGCTGAGACCCCCCAGCCAGGCGCTCAGAGCCGCTCCACGTAGAAGGCCTTCCCGAGCCGCTGCAGCTCCTGCTGGTGCTGCTGGTGCTCGTCCTGCAGCAGCCGGAGCAGAGCAGCCCGTCGGACCTACCGGCACAGGAGCCGGTGCTGAGCCCCACCGTCCCCAGGCTGGTCCCGCAGGATGCGGTTCCAGAGTGGGAGAAGGGGGACACCCAACCCTGGGGGCACAGGACTGGGTGCCCCCCGGCCCCACACCCGGCCTCACCGCCGTCTGCTCCTTGCCAGCGAGCTGCATCTCTGACACCATGCGCTGCCGCAGCGCCACGGCCCAGATCCTCTGCCAGCACCGCGCGTACTCAACGGCCACCTGCCCAGAGCTGTGGGGACACGGCAAAGGATGGGGTATCAGGGCTCCCCCCGCACCTGCTGCCCCCCCCTCCCAGTACAGGGAGTTCAGCCCCCAGGGCCCCCTCTGCCAGCTCTACCTCTCCATCAGCCTTGCGCAGGCGCTGCCCTTCACCAGGACCTGCAACCAAAGCAACATGTTTTGGGGGGGGGGGGGGGGG